ACCCTGGAAAATATTATTAATGTTGATGAGAATTGATTCTACATGACAAAGCAGTCAGAGAAGTATTACCTCATTCCTAACGAAGACGAGCCTTTACGCACATGTAAGAGTAAGACTTTTATTACTAAAGTCATGTTTATGGTTGCAGTGACACGCCCAAGGTTTGATGAATCAGGGAATGATTTATTTTCTGGAAAAATCGAGAGGAGTGGTAAAAATCATTTTGCAGGAACCATGGAGACTAAAACAATCAAATCTATCAATAAAGAAATTTATCGATCTTACATAATTGAGAAACTCTTACTCGCTATCTGTGATAAGTGGCCAAGAATTGATGTAAGAAGTCCAATATTTATCCAACAAGACAATGCGAAACCTCATTTTAGTTTGGATGATGAGTATTTTCAAAGTAATGCTACTAAGGATGGCTTCGACATACGTTTGATCTCTTAGCCTCTGAATTCTCTAGATATGAATATTTTAGACCTTGGTTTTTTTTAATGCGATACAAGCACTACAATACCAAGATGCGCTCATAGAGGCTGTTCAAAAGTTATTTGATGAATACTCACCAACAAAATTGAATCATACGTTCTTAACTTTACAGTCACGTATGATTTTAATTTATAAAGACGGAGGTTCGAACAAATATAAGGTTTCGCACATGAAAAAACAGAGGTTGGAGGGACAAAATTGCCTGGGAAGGCAATTAGATGTCAACCTCAGGTTAATTGGAGAAACAATTGGTCAATGTCAATAAGTGTTACAATTGACCTGTCTGACATTGTAGATTATTTTGTTTTGTCTATAATGTTCATATGGGTTCTAATAAGATATTGTCTTTTAGGAGTAGTTTGTGTTTCATTTTGATTCCTGTGTTTTTTGTTGTAAAGAAATTCTACTCCAACAAGCACGAAAAGAACTTGTTCTATTTTGTAACATAAGTTTTTGTTATTTTACCTTGGTTGTTCCATAGACTACATGGTTGAGATTCCCATTTCTGATGCTATGCTTTCTGTATGCAATCGAAGAAAGAGTAATGAGAAATTAGACCTTAAATTTTCATTTGCACAACCATTGATCTTAAAAGCTAGAAAAGGGATCATCGGTTATTGGAACATGATGTAGTCAATACCACTACCAAATTGTCAAAAATGCTTTAAAGAAATCTGGATCAATAACTAAGTCCCAAAAATAAGCATAGATTGAATTGGAAATATAATCATGCTACTGACACGTATTTTGGAAACAAGTGATAAGATTGAATTGCACATCATACTTCATCAACTAGGCTCACAAATGAAAAAAGATGGTAACCACACCATCTTAAAACTCTAACAGCATCTAAATCTCCCACAAACATGACCCAAACCTAGGGCTGTAAATGAGCTAAGCCGAGTCTAGTTTTCGACTTATCAAGCTCGGCTCGTTTGCTACAGGATCGAGCTCGAGCCTGTCGAATCAGAGAAAAGGGACTCGAACTCAAACTCGATCGAGTTCGAGCCGACTTGACCGGTGTCAGTTTGTAGCATTGCCTCTGGCTATCCTTCTCAAATAGTGGACTGTAGTGAGTGGAGACTCCTTCAGCTTTTTCTGGTACTTTCCTCATTGAAAAATAATGGTTAAAATAATAATAAAAAAAGTAAATAAACTTTTAATTGGCTTTAAATTTTTGGTCTTTTAAATTTACGAAGAATCTGAAGGAATGATTTGTTTGTTCAGATAGTCTCAAGTTCATCTTCATCTTCATCTTCATTTTTGTCTCCATCTCATCTTCATCTTGCAGAACAGCACGATTTACGTTGCTTCCAACTCCATCATCTTCATCTTCATCTTCGTCTTCGTCTTCGTCTTCGTCTTCGTCTTTTTCCTTAACACGATTTTGATTTTGATTATGAAAATTTGCAAGAACAAATTTAGGGGTTAGGGTTTGTCGATTTGGTAAATTTGATTTGGGGGTTTAATTTTGTGCTTTAGAACTAATTACATTAGGGGGGTTAAATGTCGTTTTTACAAAATTTTTAAAACTAAAGAATAAAGATAACACTTTAGTCCCCACAGTTTATCAAATATAACAAATAGAACCCTGCTTAGCTAAGCCACATCAAGCTCACGAGCCTACGAGCCGAGCCTCCCCATGTTCGAACTCGGCTCATTTTATATAGCGAACTCGAGCCGAGTCATAAACGAGCTTCAATTGAGCAGAGCCGAGCCGCTCGACTCATCTGACAGCCCTACCCAAACCACATCTACAACAGTAAAAAAAGATCCCGCCCTTCCAATAATTCCAGCCTTCATCTTGTTCAAGAAAACCATCAAGCAAATGCAAAAATTCAGTAACATAAACACTTGAAACACCAAATGATCACTCTCACCAAGGAGTACAAGGCCCGATCATCTCCTGAAGGCCACGCGAGCCATAACAATAGCAAACATATCCATACTAACACACACTTTATAGACTTCGGCATATGTAGAGGAATCAAGCAAATCACCCAATACGCATTTTTGTTCATCATTCCTATTAAGGCTGTCAATTAGCTCTTGAGAGTAGGACAAACATTGGACTTCTTTAAGACCATTTTCACGAGCTACACACTGTCCAAGATATAAGGCAAGATATTCTGCACTTCTAATTTTTCCTGATTATTCCAAACTCCAGAAATTTCAATTTTGACAATCGATCTTGATGCACCTTCTATATTGTTTTTTGCAACATGTACTATATAAGAGAAAATATTGTAACTAATTAACTGAATTGACGAAAGCAAAAAAAAGTGTATTGACATGCACCATAAAAAAATAAAAATAAATAGAACCTCCACTATTGACATCCACCATTCCATATTGATTAGCGATGCTTGTATTGCCTTCAGTGTCAATTAATTTGGCCTCATTGTTGATGTTATGATTATCTTCAAAACCTAAACATTCACAAATTGTAAAGTTAAATGAGTCATACAACAATGTACCATAATCAATTTTAAGAATAATAACCTTAAGAAAACACAAAAGAAAGCCATTTACATGATAAAGGCGCCCATATCCTCATTTGTTCTAAATCTTCATTCGAAAGTTTACGACTCATAATCTCCACTACGTTTATAGCCTGATCTCTATTAAATGTGGTAGGATGATCTACTTGCTCAGATTCAGAAGGGTAACTTAAAAAAACAAAATGTCGAAACTCAAGTTTAGAAACCTTTGATGCAAGAGGCAACTTAGTAACATTTGTAAAATTAGATTGTCTATTGAAGCTTTTGAGTAGGAACAACACCAATTTCCAGAAATAAAGAGTTCAATCATAATAATACCAATTGTCATAAATATGCATCTAAACAAAATTTCATAAATATGATTAAAAGGAAAAAAGGTAGCAAAATAGTAAAAAATGTATCTGTATTTAAGAATGAAAAGAAAGAGTAATATGACTTGTGGATAGAAAGGATTAGCCTTCATTTTCAAATTTTCCAGAAGCTGTAAAAGAACTGGAGCCTAAAATGGAAAGAAAGAAAAGAAATTGTTAAGGAGCAATGTAATGAAGGGAAAGTTGTGTTAAATGACATTTGAAAGAGAAAGAGATAAAGGAGATGAGGGGCCTGAGAAAGAGAAAGAGAGAGAGGAGATAGGGGCCATACGTCGAGAAAGATAAAGAGGGTTGCGTAACTTTTTTGTCAAACGACATTTATTTTGGAAAAAAATAATAAGGTTAAAATGACTTTTATTTCGAAACGGAGGGAGTATCATTTTATCACTATTTAAACTAAAAATGTGGTTGCCTAACACCACTCAATAGTTATTAGCAATGTTTTAATAACTGACTTGAGGTGAAACCTGACAAAGTGGTCGTTTCTTGTGTCAATCGCTGAACTGGTCCCACCAGCGAGTTGGACTGGTCACGTAACCATGTCCAGAGGTTTGAAATTTAGCAAACACACCCCTTTGATCTAGCCAAATGCAAATCAGTGATCGACTGGTTGGTGGTGGCGACACATCAAATGCAAATCCCACTCATCAATTGAGCCGTTCCCTAACAAATCTAGTTGAAATCCGAAAAAAAAAAAGTTGCATGTGACTGCCAACCCAAGCCAAATAGGCCTGTTTCTGGCGTCGACAACTGCCCCCCATCACCACTAAAACACTCCCCTCAGCCTCCTAACCAAACCTATCTCACTCCCCCCTGTGGCCAATTGTTGGCAATAGCCCACGGTTGTGGCTATGCGACTTTTGTTTTTTCCGGTCGTTTCATTCATTGGAAATCACCTTCGTCATCACCTTTAGACTCATCGACACTTTCTCTCCAACAACCCCTAATAGTCCTGCCACCGTTTGCTCATCGATCGTCGCCCTCCTTTTTAGGGTTTGCTTCTTCATGAATTTGGGGTTTTAAACAATGGATAGAGGTGACCTTGCCTAGAAAAGGCCTCGGGTCCAAGTCCGACCGATTGAATTGCCCAGGCCGGGCTGAGTTTTAAAACTCTAGTTATTGGTATTGGGCTAGAAACTAAATTGGTTTATTTAGTTGGAGTTTATGGTATATTTGGGTTGATTAGACAATTTAGGGTGTACTTTTCTTTTTTTCAATTTTTTTGTTCAAGCTAAAACCAACCCCGAAGCCAACTATGCATAACTTTTTGATGATGGGTTGTGTTGGTATATTTTAAGATATGGGTATAACACAATTTGAGTCAACATTATTAATTGTGTCAAGATTTGTATACTTCTTTTAATAAAAGAGTCATCTATTTAATCGATTTTCCCGATTTTCCCGATTCAACTTGACAAAAGTACAAGTAATTTATTATACACCTGTTAAATGGTGAGACTGAAAAGTCAAAGAGTCAAGGGGTTCTAAGGTAATTAATCCAAATAATACAAAGCATATTGATATTTTCTCCAAACAAAGTGGTTGCACACCGCGTGACAGGACGACTTAACCATGGTAGAAAATTATTCAATTCTCTCTTTTATTTTTTTATTGATTTACAGTATAAATATCTGTTTTCATCCTCCCTTTCTTCTCCCACTTTTTCTCTCTATCTTTCTCTCTGTACAGGGCTTAAATCTTAATCCCCTATTTTTGTGGAGAGAGAAACGAAAGAGAGATTCTAAAGTGCATTAACTTTTCGTTTTCCTGCAATAACCAGAGCATTTCTCGGTTCTTTCTCTCCCGTTTATTCCTTAGTACGACGCCGTCAGGTTCGATCTAAAATATCTTCAATTTTTCTCAGATCTGAATTTTATTATATTGCTTGTTTGAACAAAGTGAATTCTAGGGTTTTTTTTGTGAGTGCGAATTCATTGTTTTGGTTTACAGGTTTTGGAATAGGTAATAAATTATATTGTATGTCAAATTATGCGATTCGTTTTGCGAAGTTTAATGCTGGTGTTTGTGTTGTGCTGATGTTTTAATTGTTTGGAAAGGAGTGGATTTGTTTCTTAGAAAGCTGAACTGAGGGTTTTTTTTGTTTTTGTTTTGAAGATCTGAATGTAGATTGTTTTTAGATGATTCTATTTTTGTTTTGCTATTGTTGTTGATATTAGCAGAACCAGTTTTCTTATATTGATGGTTATTTAAGGATTTAAAGTGAGTTTGGTTGTTACTTTTATTCTTACGTTGTTGCTTTAGTTAGTTTTTGTTTGCCCGGGAGATGTTGTGAAAAGAATGCCAATATATATAGTCGAACTCGAGTTTGATGAATATTGGAATATGTGCGAATTAAACTTCTTACTGAAATAAGCTTGATTTACTCAATTGTTTTGTTTGGTTGAAGCCGGTTTTTAATTTTTCCCTTTTTATTTTCCGTTTCCTTTTATAGAAGTCCAATGCGTGTGATTAGTGATACCTTGTTTTTTTGTTTTTGCCGACTTCTTTGTAGAGATTTTCAAGAAGCATTTCTCTCTGGCATTTAAAGATAAATTTTATTTGTAGTCGGATTTGTATCATGTTAGTGGTCCAAATCATGGTTTCTTAATTTACCTTTTTATCTTGTATATGTGTGGTTTGTAGGATTTGTTTTGCTGATTTCCTAGCAATGGCTGCTACTGCGACTGCTTCTAGTGTAAGATATGCACCTGAGGACCCCAGTCTCCCCAAACCATGGAAAGGCCTGGTTGATGGTAGAACTGGGTATCTTTACTTTTGGAATCCAGAGACAAATGTAACCCAGTATGAGAGGCCTACAAACTTGGCTCCTCCACCGACATCTTCCTCAGTGCCCATAAGCTCTTCTGTTCAAGTTCAACAATCTTCTGAAGGACAGCGTCGTGGTTGTAGTCCTGAAAAGGAAGATGATAGGTATGGTCGAGGGACCAATGGCGTATCAAAGCTTGATGTTGGCTCAAGGGGCAATCAGGTATATGTTGTGCTTGTCTCTAAATTTGTTATTTAACATTCAGTGTATGTTGTTGTGATCTCCCTTATCTCGATAAATCTTATTATACGTGTTTTCCTTTTCAAGTTAGATAAGTCTTCTCATTTTACTTGAGCTTTGATGTATGTTTTAATATTGTACGAAAACATTATGCACTGTTTCTGTTGTCACAGTGTTGCTATTTGGGTTTGGACTTCTTACCTGATTAAGATAAAGGAGTTATGTCTTCTCACTCTTTCACGTTCACAAGCATGGATAAGCTTTGTTCTAACATGTTGAATTGCTTTTCAGTATGTTTAGCCAATTTAATTTTACAAAGGATATGAATAGAGAGATTCCTAAAAAGAAGGATGGATTCATAAAATTGACTAGTTTAAGCATTTTATTTCAGAAATTTAGTCATGTAATTCCACTCCTGTTGGTAAGACAAAACTTTTGTTATTTCACTGTGTTATATAAAAATTTTAATGCTATTAGTTCATTATTTTTTGAAAGAATTCAAGAGGAGCACCTGTTCAATCACATAATGTCCCGAATGGAACAGCAAGTGTGGGACATGGAGGATCATCTATGAGAGGTTGTGGATCGTCAACTGCTGCAGTCAGTTTGTCTCCTGATGCTTATCGCCGGCGACATGAAATAACTGTGTCTGTGAGTATCTAGGAACTCATTTCATGGTCTTGTATCCCAATTTCATATTTGGTGGTGCACTTTACTCATTCCATCAAAGTGGATTGATTTGTTGCTTTTGCCATCTCTTTTTCCCGCTGCATTTTTAAAATGATATGTTATTGTGTTATCTGTCTTTTTTTTCTCTCTCAAATACACCTGCTTTCCAGAATAAACATAACTTTGTTTTATTTTATGGGTGCATTAGCATCTGGCATGGTGAGTTTTGGAGCCAGGTGTGTGTGTTTCTGTAACAGTTTCACATCTATTTGTGAATTACCTATGCTGGTTTTATAATATTTACTTCCTTTATCTAATGCATGATGTGTTCATTTCGTTGCGCCTTGATGATGACTTTTTTCCTTTGCAACTCTTATCAGGGTGATGATGTGCCCCCGCCTTTTATGTCATTTGAAGCTACTGGTTTTCCTTCTGAGATTCTTAGAGAGGTATGAGCTTTTGCTATTCTTCTGTACTTTTCGTCTCTATTCAATACTGGTGGCCTGGATTTCCTGTAAGTCAGCTAAACCGTGTAACCTGAGTGTTTCTTATGCTCAATTTTGTAATTGCTGGAGGTCCAATCTTGAGTTTCAGACTCATGTTAATTCTTTTGCCATCTGTACTTTTTGTCGCAGGTGCGATATTTGCTCCTGGGGGAGCTAATGTCGTACGCTGTGCTGCCCTCTCGTGGGGGCCTTGCATATAATTTGGAGCGCCCTTTTACAGTGGACCAATTTATGGGGAGGGCTTTCCGAATCACCCAAGTTCGTGGCCACGACTGCTGTTGGTGATGATTCAGTCTGCCACTTGGTCCTAACAGAAGAAGAGGTCTCCTCCTGCTCCAGCTTGCATCAGCAAGCATTGGCCGGCTTCTAATGGAGGATGATGCTTCTTCTGGCATTAGCCAATCCACTATAAGTCCAAAAAGAAAACCAACCAATTCTTGAGGCCAGTACCTCTGCTTACGGGGGTTACCGGATTTGTTCTTTTTCCAGGTACACAATGCTGGATTCTCTGCACCAACTCCAATTCAGGCACAGTCGTGGCCAATTGCTTTGCAAAATAGGGACATAGTCGCCATTGCAAAAACGGGATCTGGAAAAACATTGGGTTATCTAGTTCCAGGTTTTATTCATCTGAAGCGCCGCCATAATAATCCTCTATTGGGTCCTACTGTTTTGGTATTGTCACCAACGAGGGAGTTGGCAACTCAGATACAAGATGAAGCTGGGAAGTTTGGGAAGTCATCGAGAATTGCTTGCACAGTATGTTTCCTTTAGTACGACTACTTATTATATGTAGATGCATTATGTGTGGCGCTTGCTTATGCATCCAAGCATGTGAAGTTATATAATTTTCGTTGATTAGATCTGACAGTGCTTTTGTATGTCCCTGCTGATGAACGGACATAGTTGTACTTAGGGAGTCCTACCCAAACAGTTTTATGGCTTTTCTGAATTTGTGTAGTCTATGAAGTTGATTTATTAACTTCTATATTCCCTAAGGGTAATATTATTTTATGGTCTGTTACTTGGTCACTATGTGATTGTCTCATGCATCATATTAGAATCTATTAGGCAGCCTCTCTGGTGATGAGATATTTGCTGCCATAACTTAAGGCTTCCCATAACATAAAGTTATGCATTTTATACATGTTAGTTATTATGTTTTTTCTGTAAAGTGTGGATATTGTGATTGTCTCTCCTGACTGACTGAATGATGTCCTTTCTTTTTTTTGGGTAATTGACTGAATGATGTTCTTGAGATGCATGTTATTGGAACCGTGTTTAATTTACTTCAAATGTGTCAAGTTGTGATTTAATGTGTTCATTCTCTGCTATGAATTCCTTTGGTCATGCATAATATGAGATTCTTTTTGTTTTCCCTACTGCTTTATTGTATTAACTTTGTACTTTGCATTTGTAAAAGTAGATATTTTTATATATGATGAGTTTCTTGCTGATTTTAGTTATCATATGGTTTTTTAAGTGTTTGTATGGAGGAGCACCCAAGGGTCCTCAGTTGAAAGATATAGACAGAGGAGTAGATATTGTGGTTGCCACTCCCGGTCGCTTGAATGATATTCTTGAGATGAGGAGAATCAGCCTCAATCAAGTTTCTTACCTTGTGCTTGATGAGGCTGATCGCATGTTAGACATGGGCTTTGAACCTCAGATAAGAAAGATTGTGAAGGAAGTGCCTGTCCGTCGGCAAACCCTCATGTATACTGCAACATGGCCAAAGGAAGTTCGGAAAATTGCTGCAGATCTATTGGTGAATCCGGTTCAGGTCAATATTGGCAATGTTGATGAGCTTGCAGCCAACAAGGCCATCACGCAGGTATGAACTTTACCATTCTTGATCTTGATTAAGCCCAATATAGATGAAAAACTATATAACTACCACTTGTTTGAAAAGCTTTCTTTGTCTTGTTGATTTATGAATTTTCATTTTATTGTTTTTCGATGTGAAATGTATTTCTGAATTTCCTTGGTAGTTACTGTTACAACAGTTTGTTATTCATGTATTTTTTTTTTTTTTTTTTTTTTTCTGTAGTATATAGAAGTATTGGCACCCATGGAAAAACACAGAAGATTGGAGCACATACTGCGTTCTCAAGAACCAGGATCGAAGATAATTATATTTTGTTCAACCAAAAAGATGTGTGATCAACTTGCTCGAAATCTTACACGCCAATTTGGAGCTGCTGCTATTCATGGAGACAAATCTCAGAGTGAGAGGGATTATGTGTTGAATCAGTTTCGTACTGGGAGGTCTCCAGTGCTTGTAGCCACTGATGTTGCTGCTCGAGGATTGGACATTAAAGACATCAGGTTTGCGGCTATTCAATTTTCAGTCTTTATATGTCATTTAGATGTGTTCTGTTTCAATTTCGCTGACAACACCATTGTGTAGCCAAATCACAGGCCATATTGAGAACCTGGGTCTACCATTCTAGGGAGTGCATGCTTTTTCTAATTTTTTTTGTCTCTTGTAAAACTTTTTAATGAGCAACCTAGAAACCAGAATGAATTTTACTGAAGAAGATAGAGGGTAATTAATACCAGTTCTTATGGTTTGATTAATTTTCAACACTATTAAAGTGCATCCCCAGCCCTTGTATATGATGTAAACTCAGTCTGAACTGCTTAAATGATTAATTCTTTGAAGTGCAGCTGCTGCTGCTTTTAATGTATAATTATGTGATTTTCCTTTTTGAATATCACTTGCTCTTGAAGTGAGTTAAAATAAATATGACAATTTGCGCCTCTTCCAATGAATTCAACATAGCGTGCGATAGTTACACTTCCATTTATGTTTGCAGGGTGGTTGTCAACTATGACTTCCCTACCGGAGTTGAGGATTATGTTCATAGAATTGGTAGGACTGGCAGGGCTGGTGCTACTGGACTGGCTTATACATTTTTTGGTGACCAGGATGCAAAGTATGCTTCAGATCTTATTAAACTTTTAGAAGGAGCAAACCAACGAGTACCTCCTGAACTTCGTGAAATGGCTTCACGTGGTGGTGGTATGGGCAGGCCTAGACGTTGGGGTACTGGTCCTGGTGGTCGTGATGGGGGTCGTGGTGGACGCATTGACTCAGGTTATGGGGGAAGGGATGGTGGGAGGGGTAGTTGGGGTATTTCTAGTTCCTCTTCTAGAGGTGGAGGCCGTGGAGATGATCATGAGTCACGTGACAGGTATGTAGGTTAATTTTCTTGATGTATATAAGTTGTGAGTTTTCTCTCTGGTGCATTGATTTTCTAGAGATGCCTAACTCATCATAATCTGAATCAGACATCTGGAGTTTTAAAAATTTAGGCACAAATAAAGCCAAGTGCCAAGAAAGGAAGTTTTAAGTGGATGTACCTTGTTACTGTTCTTTCCCTTGCCATGCCTTGTCGAGTCTTGTTTAGTTATGAGATAATGGAATCTGTCTATTTTTTATGTTACCATGTGTTAAGATGTTATGCTCTTGCTTCTTATTGATAGGAGCCGCTACCATGACGGGCATGATAGGGGTCGTAGTCCCAGTCGAAGCCCTGGCAAAGGGTCTGGCTGGGGTGATCGTAGTAAAAACTGGAATTGTGACCGTAGCCGCAGTAGGAGCCCACCCTTTGCACGCGGACGCTCCCCACCACGTAGCTTTCACCAGGCAATGATGGAACGGGGTCGGACATCTCCACCCCCTCACCAACGTGTACCACCTTACAACAGTGACAGACCAAGGGAACGCAAGAGTCCATTTCATGAAAGATCACCAAGGGGTGCAAATGGTCAAGCCCATTATGGGGAAGAAGAAGAGGAAGGGATGATACACCCAGAATGATTATGGAACGAGGTTATCTTGGAGGTCAAGAGGAAGGATGGGCAGCATGGTTACTAAATCCATACCGTAAAAGTTTTTTGTTGATGGTATCTCCTGATGCTGCTTGCTATCTTTGCTGGTTTTGGTCGGAAGTTGGGGCATTGTAGGAGTAACAAGTTGAATTTTGTTGAATGTGTTGCCCTTAATAAAAAGGGTCAATCAGGTGGGATCTTTAAGTATATGTAGTTTCTTACAGTTTTTTGGTAAATGAAGGGAAAATGCAAAATATGGAAATAGGTGTTATGCAGCAACGGAAGCATAACAAAGTTTTTTGATGTGTTGGGCCTTGTAGTTCTGTGACTTGCTTTTATACTTATTACACTCTAATATAGAAGACTAATCTTATTCATTGTTGTTTAGGTAGTCATTTTTTTTAAAAAGCTATGTAGAAGAACCTGAGGTTTAACTTTAACCTTCTTATTTTTTAACGTGTACCCTGTCTCTTTATCTTAACATTCAAAGTCCTGACATAAATTTTATTATATATAATGAATTTATGCTTCTGGAACGCTCATATCATTATCTGGGTGTCATTTATTTCTGGTTGCTCTTACATGTATTAGAGATCTTTACAGTAAATTCCTGGTATTAATTTATGGATGATTTCATGAACAAAATGAGTAAGCCAGTAAGTATACTTTTAATAACATGTATTGCGCCTTTCATTTTATTTATTTTTTAATGGATTTAACATGTCCATAATTGTCTGTTAAAAATATGGTTTGCAGTTAGAGGTGGGAAAGTAACCTGCCTGACCCGGCCCGTAGCGGGTTACCCACCAACGAAGGCAGAACGGGTTAGGCTCGTCAATTTTGGGGGATTGGCTGGCCAACCTGGCCTACCAACCCTAACTCGGTTAGGTTGCGGGGCGTGGGGTTACCCTTTTTTTTTTTTAGTTTAAATGTTTAATTAACTTTTAAATGATAAACAATTTATAAATGAATAAATGTAATTTTTTAGTTAACTTCTTTTAAATATCAATAATTAATTAAATTAATTTTTTTGTAACATTTCAAATATTAATTCAATTTTAATACATTAAAATTGTATATAAGAAAAATTAAATTTATTCATATCAAAAATAAAAAAGAATACAATATTATTGTCCTTAAAAACTCCATCAAGAAAAACCCAATGGACAAAAACTTGGAAGGAAAAAAGAGTGCAATAATGACAATTAATTTACAAAACAATTAATTTTGGGGTTGACTAGGACCTCCCTCCTCTGTATCATTATATTACAAATAGAAATGATTCTATTAAAGTATCGTCGAGAACCTATTGATCTTGATGGCTGACGTTCCCAATCTCGAAGACATGTGAGGACTTCAATCATTTTTGTGAAAGTTTATCCTCTTCATTTAAAATTCTTCCACTGCACTAATGTTTGTTCGGATGAGACAGTTGAGACTGGAACACAAAAAAAATCCAAGGCAAGTCTTGATAATACCGAAAAATACATTTTCTGGTTTTCCATATTCCAAGACATCAAAGTTGGTCTTTGTTGTGGATCTTTGGTAACATTTCAGAGTTCCCAATATTGGTAAGCTCGTTACTTGTGACTGCATGGCGGACAGTAGATATGTTGTTGCCGTTGTGTTCTTCGAAGGGGAGGTTGGCTTGTGCTTTGGGTTCGGTTCCTCTTCGGCCTATTAAATGCACTCCAGGGTGTAGAAGTTTCATTTGTTCTTCTGATGAACTTCATTGTATTTCGTGCTTTGCGGGTTCCCATACTTTTTTATTTTGGAAATATACCCTCAAGACAATTTTTTACCTTTCCTATTTGATGACAAATGCTAAGTTTTGTAAATTTCGTTAATGTCCTAAACCATTTTCTAAACCTTCTGTTTAATTCTAGGATAAAAAATGACACCTAAACAATAAAGAAATAATGGGTTTAAATATTTAAAAAAAAAAAAAATTTCATTGCCTTTATTGGTTCTTTTAAAATTTATTGTTTTTGTTTTTTGTAAATAACTCTGAATTTTTATAATGTGATGTATTACCAATAGACTATAGGATAATACACACCAGAAAGTTGTAAAGTGGATTAGTAAAAATTTTTAAGAAAAATGAAATACTTAGCTATTTGCAATCATTTTCTACAAATAATGAGGACCTCTATTATTTGTTACAAATAACTAATTAAATTAGCATAAGGTACATGAATCAAGCATTAAATAGTATTATTCCATCAACAGGCATGTTTAATGCAAAAGTTCTAGAGACATATTTGATTTTATACAAGCATCTTGAAATCAGTTTCTTTTATTACTACCAGTAATCCAGCTAAACAATCTCTAATTTATCAATATTTTCTTTAATTTTTTCATACCACTTTTCAAATTAAATAATATATAACAGCACAACGTTGGTGAAAAAACTTAAATTGTTATATAAAGATAATTACTTTGAAAAACTATAGCTCTATATTAGAATTGCATTATCTAAAGTTAAACTTATCACTTTAGTAACAATATCATAATTTCTAAAATTTCAACAATTTATTATAAATTTGTTGACCACTATGATCACATCCATTAATCTAAATCTAATAAAGATTTATTTAATTTACATTCATTATCAAAATAAGACTAGTCACATAAATATAATTTGTTAGCTCTACCACTCCAAATATCGGTATTGAGCCGCATAAAATGAAAGTATGTATTTTATTTTTTAATTAATTCATTTTCTTAAACAATTTTATTAAATCATTTTAGTTGAGTTTTAGAATAACTTTTAAATCCTGGAAAAAATGAATTTTTAATAAATTTTCAAAATATTTATCTTCAGCATATTAATAGGTTGATCAGTTGCACATATATAAAAGCTAATTGTTCCTATATACATCAGAATTATAACCCAAATGTACCTATATTAGTATTTGAGTTTGATTGTTTCTCTATTTCCATTTGAACAATATGTTTATTAGATGCCTTTTTAAAGTACTGTACCATTACCTGAATCAGCTTTATAAACATTCCACAATATTGCATCTTGCTTTCTTTACTTGAACTCCATTTTCTCTCGTAAATTATCAAATGCGTCCAAACGTCTATGTTTTCTGTCGTCGCTTTCGACCATTGATGAACCGCTTCAGCTTGAGATGAAGTTGGGATGAGGGACGACTTCTAGAACCACCGAGCTGTAGGTGTAGCAGCATGGGGAGGAATCGGGGCATATTTTGATGGTATCGGATTCTGAGGGGAAACATGACTATTTGAATCTTCTCCTGCATTCATGTTAGTAAATTCAGGGACTAGGACTAGGATAATATTTCCTTCCTATTGAAATTGTAGAAGAAAATCTATTCCATTGTAGTTGAAAAAAAAAATTGATGTAAAGAAATAAAAATTAAAGAAAGAGATTGGATATTGAATATGAAAATTGGAAATATGAATTGAAAATTGCAAAAACTAATAAAATTAAAATAAGAGCAAATTGATAAATGATAACAAATTAAGAGAATAATTGAGAGATTTCAATAAAGATTAGAGATTAGAGAGAATGAGAGAGATTTGAGTTATAGAAAAATTAAGAGTTTTAGGCCAATTTATAGAAAAAAATTTGGGAAATAAAATAACGGAAAAGCACTCCAACTGTATAAAACGGTATATTTAAGGTAAAGGGGAATTAAAAAAAAATTATTTTTTTTAATTTTTTTCGTCAAAGGTGGGTTGGCTTTGCAACCTCGGGTCAACCGATGGTGACTTTTGCAATAGCCAACCGCCGGGTTGGGTCCTTTCTTAGAAAGGAAAAAGTGAACCCTGGGTCGTCGGGTGCCATAACAACCGGCCTGCCGGGGGTTGAACCCTCTTTAATACAGATTGTTAGGGTTGACCCCTTAACCTGACCATTTTTTCACCTCTATTCTTAATTTGCTACTCAAGAATGTAGTGAAGTATCTGATAAGTATATTTAGTTTAAAATTCAAACTGAACTGAATGCGAAAAGTAAGAGAAATATTTATTGATTTTACATGTCCTAATAAAAAATGAATTTCCCGTAATGCCTCGACAGGTTCCGTTACGTTTGCAATCTCCCATTTTTGCCACCTCGGCAAGTACAAGTCAGCAACTACATTTTGACCAAAGTCAAAGCTCACGTGATCGAATGTACAGAAAAACCCCAACACAAGTTAAGAGCCATATAGCATGTTGATAAATTATCCCATTATTCAGAAATTGAAGAAATAAAAGGAACAATAATATTATTATTATTATTATTTTTTATGTTTAGCTTTGAAAGTAATACTATTCAGGGTCTATTTCAGAAATAAATGGAAGGTAAAAAAAAAATATAGTTCTATGTGGATTTAGTTGGGGTGGGGATATGGCATTGTATATATGCAATTATAGAAGATTTGTGAGGACAAAATAGTAAATAAAATAATATTAGAAACTCTGCCTCTTTGTCTGGCTTTATCCTGAAAGGTGCCATATATGGTTAAGGTTGTCGTTTGGTTGGTTATGGGCAGAAGTTTGTTGGAGCAATAATAATTAATAATAGTTTAGAAATAAAAAAGCTAAGAATCCAGGGAGAAGCTAAACTAATTATTAACCAAATGGTTTTCATGCAGGGCTTAGGGTGACTGTACACTACTCACTTCACCGACAAATGGACTCCATGACACAATCCCTCATTCTTATCCTAACCACCCTTCTCATTTTTACTCACCTTTAACTAATTCATTTAGTAAATTATAATTTAGATGAAATTGATTCAAAAATATTACATCCAAGTAAAAAAAAAAAAAAAGGATTGATTTGATTTTGGATGATGGTAATTTATGAGTGTGAGGAGCAAGAACGTAACTGTAAAAATTTCTAGATTTAAAAAATTACCAGAATTTATTTGTAATTAATAGTCATTTAATTAGAAACCAAATGGGAAATGCATTTATAATTCAGTTACAAATTAAAGATGCTTTTTCACACATGCTTACTCTCCACGTCTTGCCTTCCAACCAGCTTCCCAAGTTTCAGACCTCATTACAATATGGACAAAATTTATGGTTGCAAAACCACGCTTTTACCCCTTTATTTCAAAAACAAAAATATTATTAAATAATTTGTTACTTAACATCTGAATTTAGAATTTTGACTGAAGAAAACAGAATGATGGATTTATTTCACTATTTTTTTTCTTTTTTTAATTTGTTTTATTAGCATTAATGTGAGTGAGCTAAAAATTGGCTAATTTTGACTGTAATTCGTAATTAAGAAATTAGCATTTAATCAAGAATTAATAAAACATAATGAGACTTTTAAATTTTGTTTACTCACGAATGATGCATGCAATTGTTGAACCAAATTACGACACCCCTGGCCCTGTTATCGCCTCAATTTCATTTACTGTCCCCACCAAAACCTAAGCTACCCCACAACCCTCACCGTTTGATTTGAGTCTGATTTACCCAATATTTTACCTATCGAAAGCACACAATCACGACTGAAGCCCTAAAAGGTAACGAAGAGGGCTTCATTCAGCCACGTGTCGAAAATTCGGTCGAGCATTCTCATAGAATACAAGGGTTTTATAACGACCTAATGATTACTGGTCTTTTTTGCCCTTGGCAATTTGGCAAATACAAAATCGGGGAAGTTTAAAAGTCACATTCAACTAGAAATATTAACCATTGGTTTGACAAGTCATCAGGGGCTAAAATTCTGCCACGTGTACACTTGGCTTGCTCAATTCAGTAATAAAAAGCCCATAGAAATTAACCCTCTCATTACTCACAACAATTAAACATTAAACCATCCTTCCTTGTTGAGCTCTCTCTCTATTATTTCATTTCATTTCTCTCTCTTCCTTTGTTTTCTCTCTCTACTTCTGCATGGAGTTCGATTCAAGTTTCAGAGAGGATTACCCCTTTCTTTCAAGCCTTCTTGCTGATAATCCCTTCAGTAATCCTGAGTTTGGAAATGGGTTTTCTTCTGTCTTTGATAACTCATCATCCTCTTCTTCAAACAAGGGTTTGTTTCACAACTCTCATTACCAGCTTGAGCTTGATCATGACTCCTTCCTGACGAACCCTCAAAGTTTTAGCCGACTTACCATCGAGGGTTCGTCCAAAAATCCCTTCTTCGGGGTTTCGAAACCGAGTTTCGATCCTTTCGAGGTTTATACAAATATTTTTTCAGCTGATCATGTTGTTGACTGCACTCCTTTGATACCAAATGCTGCAAATGGGCTCTTGCATGGCTCTGACGGAAGCGCATTTTGGGCTCAGTCTGTGCCGGAAACTCAGATTTATCAGCCTATCAAATTTCAAGAGTTCGGATCAGCCGCTGCAAGGCTACCGGATGAAGTGTCGTGCATAACTGGTGATCAAAACGCTACGTATCATCAGAAAGTTGATCAGAAGAGGTACAAAAGGATACAAACCAGAAGAGGTGGCAAACCTCCGAAGAAGCACAACCTAATCAAAGGACAATGGACTGCTCAAGAGGACAAGTAGTTTAACTAAATTCTTTTTCATTTTGGTTTAGTTTTTTTCTTTAATCGTTTAGCAAATTCAGAAATGTTATTGATCTTATTCTTCCTTGTTTTCCTCCTTAGGGTTTCAAGTTTGGTAATGTTTATATAAGTTAATACGTATTGACGATGTAGATCTCCTTTTGCAGGATGCTGGTGCAGCTTGTAGGTCAGTATGGTACAAAGAAATGGTCTCAAATTGCTAAGATGCTGAATGGGAGAGTGGGAAAGCAGTGCAGAGAGAGATGGTACAACCATTTGAAGCCTGATATCAAGGTTTTTCCCTATTAATTTACTTTCATAAAGTAAAATAACTACATCATCTATATACAAATTAACATTTACGTACATACACATATACAAATACTTTGGTAAAATCGTAAAGATATAAACAACTTATTTATTCATATTTCATAACATTGCATTTCATGTATATACATATAAAGCAAATAATTTATTGTTATATATATAAGATTGAAAATTTTCATATAATTAAGCATTCACACATAGCATACATGTATAAATTGTATATCTTTATTCATTAATGAAAATTTATTATGAGAAATATTATTTTCTTTATTGATATGCATTGTTAAATATAAAAACTATGACGTTTGATCTTTTGTCGTTATTATCTCTTTGTTGACGCGTTTTGTAAAGTGTATGAATGCTAGACCTATTAAACATTTGTTGTTACATGAATGACAACTCACTTGACATGCATAACAACGAGTGCCAGGTTAGACCAGAGTTTTCTGATTCGAACCACGTCAGCATTGTAAACGGTAAAAAAAAAAAAATATAACTTAAAAGGAATCCAAAAAAATTATATATATACATTCACTATAATTATTATGTGGTATGAACGTTCATAGCATAATAAAGTTCGGACTCCTTTTTGAATATCACAACTCCGCATAAACTTTCAATTTAACCACACACACACACACACACACACATATATATATACATATATATATATATTCTTTATATTCTTTCGTATTATTGTTTTGCAATATTCATGGTATATATAAAGCCCTAAATATTTTACTTAGTTGAACAAAACTTTGATCTAGTACTTTTTATTTATAAAAAATTATTATTAATGGTATGACTAAGCAGCTTGACTCATGGTCGAATTCGTTAACCGAATAGGAATTTCCATTTTTTCTAGCTACAGAAACAAAGGTCCACCATGCATTAAGTTTATTTTATGGAAAATAGTTAATTAATAATAAATATATCTTTTCGTGCAAAATCCCTAGCTAGGATATTGAGCACAGTTTGATAAGCATAATTTTATCGATATTATATCAAAAGATAACGAAATTATATATATTGCATGTTCTAACTTCTTCCGTCAATAAAAATTTTGTAATTGTTGTATTAATTTGCAGAAGGAAGCCTGGAGCGAAGATGAAGACATTATACTCATTGAATCACACAAGCTGTTAGGGAACAGATGGGCGGAGATCGCCCGCAGATTGCCAGGTCGAACTGAGAATACTATAAAGAATCATTGGAATGCAACCAAAAGAAGGCAGCACTCCAAGAGAAAGAACAGGGAATCCACTCCAAAATGCAGCCTCTTGCAGAGCTACATCAAGACTGTCACATATCCAACTTCATTCATCAAAAAGGACAAGGGGAAAAAACCCATTACGGGAAATAAAATACAACAAGTGATTAATAACGTCGTCATGCCCACTCCACAACTTCATCAGGTTGAAAGCTCAGATTTCAACTCAGCTGCTGCAGATTGGCAAGTCCCGGCACCAGCAGCTTATGAACAAAATGAAGCCATGGGGTATTCATTTGATGCTAGCATGTTATGCGACGGATACAACTTTGGGTCGATACTCGATGAGGTGACTTGCGGGTCGATGGTTGATGAGAGCAACAATGAGTTTGAGATGCCAGTGGAAATAGATAGCTTCTCCCAGGAGGATCAGCTGAGAAGGGAGATGGAGATGATGGAGATGGTGTATAAAGGGCTTGCAGGCTAAGTAATTTGATCTAGCTTGGAGAATATTTCATGTGATGAAATATCTCAAAGTCTCCATGCATGAGATCTCTCTTTCAATCCTTTTTCAAAGTGATTTGGTAGGAAAATGAGGATGCAAGTAGAGATATATATCATTTTCTTCGTGACTTGGGGTAATGTTTGTGTGTTATGCTTTTTGTTTGTGTTGAGCGTGGTTCTGTATCCTTAAACCTTTTTTTTTAATTAAAAGTTCGAAGTTGTTGTTATGATCATGTTTATATATATATATATATATATATATATATATATATAGAGAGAGAGAGAGAGAGAGAGAGAGAGAGAGAGAGAGAGAGAGAATTTAGAGGTTAACAAACAATTTCACTAGACTCCAAGAGCCTAATTATTCTATTAAAGCTTTATTCTAATTAGATCCTCGAGGTATTGTGTGAAAACTTTTACTTTTCTAAAATCCTAAATAATAAGAAAATTTTAATTTACGAACGGTCTGGAAAAAGCTATTTTATAAGCTTAAATGTATTAGATGCATGGCGGCCGGCTTTAACCATGGATAAAAAATTAATTATGTTAATTAACAAATCATACACTGGAACAACTTGTATATTACTGTAAAAATGATCCCCTAAATACTATCAATATAAGGACAGGTTTGTAATTATAAACACATATAATTTTCAAATTAATTAATTAATTATCAAATGTACAACTTTAATTAGCCTTCAAAAATATACAGCAAGAACAACGTAAAATTTATTCTAATAAGATCTTCAAAGTGCTGCGTGTACAATCCTAAATTATTAAATAGTTTCAATTTACCTTACTTTTAAAAAAATCTTAAATTAAATAATTTTAATTCTTGCTTATTCAATATCATTGTATAATATTTTGTAATTAGAAGCATGGCAGCCGAAATATTCATACATCAAGAATTAATTATGTTGTGATCAATTATATTGTCAAATCAGATATTATAGTAAAAATAATGAGTTAACGACTTTTTTCCATCCAAATAATATGGTTTAATGACATTTTTTCACCTACAAACTTTTAAAATACCATTTTATTATCCAAATTTATATTTCGGTGGCGAATAGAGAGAAATCTCTATCCAGGCTATTGGGGCTTGTGAAAAGGAGAGGTCGATGAGTCTTTTGGTGATGGACGGTTGGATTTTGGTGATTGGGATTGAAAGAAATTTGACTTGAGAGGGGCTGTTGGGCAAACCCTAATCACTCAATTGGTGAGATCAACGGGAGCAAGGTTTAAGGGGTTTTGGTGAGTGATGATCGGAGAAGGAAGAGAATGGTGGTAGTGTGGGATTACAACGATGCCGGAATCGGAAACAGAATATAAATTTAGGTAGTAAAGTGGTATTTTAAAAGTCTATGGGTGGTAAAATGTTGTTTAATCTCGAATATTCCCTTACGTACCATCAAAACATGGACATGTTTGTGATTATATATAAACACATATATTTTTTTTAAATTAAGTATCTAATGTACAAACTTTCTGTAATCAGAGAATACTAGTGTCAAACGAGCTATGCAGTATTTGGCTTTGGCTTCATTCGCTTGACTCTCGAATACAAGAAGACCCCAGCAAGAGCCAATGCGGTTCCTATTATTAAAAACAGTTCGTAGCAAAAACATTAATCAATCTGACAATAGAGTGAAAACATAAATAAATCACCAAGTAAAATTGACAATTAGAAACTAATTAATTACCAAGAGTATTAATGGGTGAAACTGGTATTCGGAAAAATATAACAGAGGAGACAATCACCACAACACGCTTTGCACAATTTCCTACTGAATGTGTCACTGGTGATACCATCTGCAATATCATGTACGAAACCTACCCAACAAAATCATCCAAATCAACTGCAAATTAATTATCATATGAAAAGAAATTCACCATTAATATTGTTAAAAATTCCAAGAAAATATGATCACCTGCTGATAACTATGGAAGCAGAGTCCTGTCAATAGCGATTTCAAGCATAGCTCTCTTATGTTTAAACCTTGACTTGCCTGAAACAAAGATTAAAGAACCAACATTTTTATGCAATGTGTTTTTCTGATGAACCCGGATGTGGTAATTTGAAGTTGAAATCTTTTAGCATGAAGTACTACTCACAGCAGATTGCAGGTATGAAGGGGTAAACTTGATGCCTTCCAAGAATATAGCAGCAGGAACCAACAGGATAAAAGATAAAATAGTTATTACAGAGAAGAGATTGACGTTGTCCAAAGTTTCCTGTGGAGGAACAAAGTGCTGTTTATGGACTAAATTTAGAGAATGGTATAAAATGATTCAACAATTTTTTTTTTCTCTCTGTACCTCTATCCTGACCATGAACTTTTTGCTTAGTACGTTACGTGATTGGTTGGTCACATTGGAAGCCATTGCACTACAGAAACCAGTCCTGTTTGGTTCAGGCTAGAATCATCAGCAGTATGCAATAGCCAAGATGAAGTGAATCTATATGTTTAAGAAACTACTTGGTTCTTGTAGCAGAAATCACAGTGATGTTTATAGAAAATGTGTNTTTTTTTTTTCTCTCTGTACCTCTATCCTGACCATGAACTTTTTGCTTAGTACGTTACGTGATTGGTTGGTCACATTGGAAGCCATTGCACTACAGAAACCAGTCCTGTTTGGTTCAGGCTAGAATCATCAGCAGTATGCAATAGCCAAGATGAAGTGAATATATATGTTTAAGAAACTACTTGGTTCTTGTAGCAGAAATCACAGTGATGTTTATAGAAAATGTGTCTACCATTTTTGTCGATGCATCAAACAAAGAGTGTTTACCAATTAAAAGAAGCATCGGTGAATGATGCTAGTGCCACTCCGACTACAATCGGTAAAAGAGAAGAAACTATCCAGAAACTCGGTTTCTGTATGCACAGAGAGGTAAAATTGAGTCAAATATCTTTGACAGCATAGCATAATTTTATCCATCAATACATAATTATCTTAAATTGCCAACATGTAATCTCTAGATAGGCAAAATTTTGCTTGCTGTTTAATGCTATATGAAAAGATCAGTAACCGTAATAGAACAAGAATCAAACTAGATCAAATTAATTAAGAATTAAAAAATAGAAGACCAGGGCTTAAGGAAAAACAAAACATAGTGTGATTTGTTCAATCAAATGTTTGTTTTGTCAAGTTCGAGAAGATTATTTATCAAAGGGACTTGTCATATTCAGTTAAGAACACTAAATGATCAAAATGCAGTAAATAATTCTTACCTCTCCAAGAAAAAGGGAAGCAAATAAGACAGTGAAAAAGGGTTCCATAGCTTTGATTGTGTGAGTGAATGAAACATTAACTTTCCCAAGACTAATATTGGTCAAAAGATTTCCCATAGTGTGTGCCACAGCCAGTGGGAAGATTGCTGCAAACTGAAAAGTGAAATTTATCAGAGCCAAATTGTAAAAGTTTTACTGCATATGCTTAATCAGAAGCAACAGTTTTCTGAAGTACCTGTGACCGAGTTAACTTTGGATGGGCGTGGAGATTAAATGTCCACATTAGAATAATCATCAGAGTCCCACAGCCGAATTGGAATGCTGTAATAGTGGTTGGATATGGATATGCTTTAAGTAGCTGTTAGCAGCAAAACCAACATTCTCACCAGAAAGTTTAATACAGGAATTAGCTAAATGTGATCAATCAACTATTTAAAGTTATGGATTAACTTTACATAATCGTAATAAACAACGGTATGACACTTAAGTTCTGGAAAACAATTGACATGTTTATGGCTGCCAATGAAACAGGGGGAATGAAAATTCATATCTGAAAGCCCCAAAAATAGAAGAAATGGTTTTGCTGAATTGTGGTACTTTGTTTTCTCAGATCTCATATTATGAAAAATCAAATGCCCACAATTCAAAATTCACTTCATTCAAAATTCCAAACAGGAATCATGCATTTACATATCAACTTTCATAGCTCAACAGTTAAACTTTTTCCACCCGAATTAGATATCAAAGTAAAGAATAAAAGAAAGGAAAAGCTAAATTTCAAAATATAGAACCAAGAACATGGAACTAACAGATGTAGTTAAACATAGGGATGATGAACCTGTTTGTTGAAAATATTGAAGTAGACGTTCAAAATATACCAAAGTGCGAACATGCCTCCAAGCTGCAAAATGCGTAAAGCTTTTGATTTAGGGGCCTCATCTACACTCTCAGGATCAGAGGTTGCCCTGACCTTTAAACTATCAAACCTTTGACTTAAACAAACAAAAGAAGAAGAGATTCTAGTAAAAGAACCAAAATGTGAGGTTCCAACACATGAAACTCCATGAACAACACCATGGTGATCAACTGGTTTAATCAAAGAAGGTGTAGTCAAAGTTGGACAAAATCTGGGATTTGTGATTTTGTTAAAAGGTTTTAGAAATGAGGTTGAAGAAGGAGAAAGAGAAAGCGCAAACCCCTGCATTTAGGAGGGTCGTAAAAGCAAGAGAAGAGGAAGGAGGAAGGAGGAAGGAGAAAGGAGAAAGGAGACAAGAGTTATTATTGACTTGCAGTGGTCTTAACGTTGCATGATTTTTGACATTCTAAAATTGTCTACATGTCTTGTTATAGAAAATTGTTTTATCAAATTGAACATTAGCTGCAAGTATCTAATTGGTCTTTCACATATCCTTCCGTGTTTTTGGCATTGAAAGCAATGGGATTCAAAGATATTAAAAGGATTGTGATCAAGTAGAGTAAACGAATTCTAAGATTTAAAGAATATCTTAGGTCAGTTGTTTACTATGAATTCTCCCTCTTAAATAAGAGAAGCATTAGTTTATTTCAGGATCTATATGTTTATCTGATAAAATTATGTAATTATAATGAAGCTTAATAAGTTTTGGCATATAAAAATACGGATCAGGTAATATAGATAAGTTGATCCCACTTAAAATTTTCTGAATGAAACAGGGCATTGGGGCTGGAACCAAGACTTTGGATAATTATGATTAGTAATTTCATCATGGTTTGGATTTAGTTGTTCAGTGGTGATGCTAGTTTTGAAAATGAGTGGATGAAATAAGTTAGTGTCGTGTGTACAAAATTGTGGCAAGCAGTGTTCCTACTTACTGTCTGAGACTGATTTATTGTAGGGAACAATCATGGACCACCACCTTGAACAGAGGATTTAAGACCCACACAGACCCATTTTCAAATACATTTATAAAGCTGTTGAATGACCCGATTTGAACAAATCTAAATAGATACTGTGTTTCCAAATGAATCCTTACATCGCCTAAATAGGAGGTGTAAATCAGACCTATTTAGTATTTACATCTCTCTCGTTGTTTGGGAGCCTATTCACCCCTTTAGGATTTTTTTATAGAATCGAAGCATCTTTCAGATAATTCGTCCGGTTACGCACTATATGACATGACCCATCAATAGAAATATTCCGACACTCACAATAATGCAGCCAAAGTTATTCCTCCTGCCACATGAGCTTCAGAGTTGAAAGCTTAAAATTGCATGGCAAATAATAAAGTCTGTGCACTTACTATTTTTGACATCATGACCCTACCAGAAACTGGAAATGCTTTGGCAGTTGGAACCAAACATCAGGTAAGTATTTGAACTGTGAATTTTCGGAACAATTACTCTGCCATAACAACAAAAAATAGCATGAGTACTTACATAGACAGAACTTCTATTTAAATATAGGAACAACAATGTAAGTATATCAGGTCACTAGTTTCCTCGCCCTCTGTTGAATCTTTCAGCATTTTCCACAAGATCAGACAGAAACCTCTCCAAACATCCTGCGCTAAGTTTCTTTATTTGCAACATCAGTAAATAAGGAGTTACTGCAACTCACAATCCCTTCATGACATGAATCTGGGTATTAATTCTGGTCAAAAGATTTTCTTGATAGTGGCACCTGAATACTGAGCAAATCTATGAGGATAAACAACTTCTATGTCCCACTAACACATGGAAAGGAATCAGGCTCTTAATGAGAGGCATTTAAGTCTTGCAAATGTCAAATAGCCAGTGTGACCTCTTGTTTCGCCACAGGGCCTAGCCATGACAGCAGCTGTACTTTGATTGTCCTGCTCATTGCTCACTTCATTTGAATGTTTTTTCCTCTTGTGAGGGAGAGAATCTACTTTTCCTTGCCGAACTTCATAGGTCCGAAGAAGTATCTCAAATGTCCTTATATCTATATAACAACACACAAAATACAAGTAAACTCAAATCATCAATGGATTTTAATATAACAAGGAATGAATCTTACCGGGAAAAAAGAAAACCAACAAGAATTCTAGTACAGAATTATATGCATAGAAGTAGTTGTATGCAGCTTACCAGTAAAATTTGATCGAAGAGATTCACATGAACGCTGCACTTGCTCAATACATGGTGAGAAGGAGCACAAGATGCCATCTTGTTTCAACATTTTCCCAGCTGAAGGAATGGTTAGCCAAGGTTGGGGTAGGTCCAGAAATATAGAATCGGCCAACCCAGAGAACTCATCTGGAAATCCCTCACCCTGAATATCTCTAACTCCTACAGTGACTAAGCTGCTCACTCCTGTCCTTTCAAAGTCCTCCCTGTTGAAAACATACAATCAGGAAACTTTCCATATATCCATAAGAACTAAGACAGATGCTTATATCTTCTCGCCTGGACCACCCACAGAAAAAACAAAATGATGCATCTTGTCCAGCAGAGGAATGGAATCAGGTGGACCTATATCACGAATTTGAGTTTTCAAAGTGCAAAAGAACAGTGAAAACTTTTTTTAGTAGTGAGTAACGCCAGGAAACTTTGACCAATGTTATTAATCTCTCTTATCTAACCACCCTCAAATTTCTGATATTTCTCTAATCTTGCCTTTAAATCAATTGTTTGAAATTTATAACCTGTGTTTATGAACACTAAAGAACATGAGGTACCCCTTTCAGTCACTTAGATATAAACTTAATATCTATCCTATCCCATACTAACTGCTTGTCCCTTGAGGCAGAAGTACGTCCACAACAAACTTGAAAAGGTACATAGAAACAAATCCCAGTTGAAGAGGTTATCAACTTATTTAAATTCAGATTAATTTAATTTCACAAAATAATACCAAAAACTAAAAGAAAAAGAAAATCACATATTGTTCATGAATATCAAAGCATCAAACTTTAAATAACATTATCAGGGCAGTCAAATTGTGAGAAACTCCACTTCTTACCTAGCTGAGGCAGCCCTTTGCTCATGGAAATCAAATGTATAGACATGTCCTGTAGGGGCCACTGCCCTTGCAAGTGAGGTAGTTAATGATCCGCTTCCAGTTCCTGACTCCAGAACCAAACATCCAGGAACAATTTCCAAGTACATGATCACAAAGCTAATGTCCGCAATATAAAGAATCTGAGTTCTGTGGCTCAAAACCAGAGTCCATAACTCTGGCGTTGGAGCTAACAAGTAAACAAATCCACCCTTGTTGCTGAACACCTTGGAACCAAATGGCTTCCCAATCCAGTCTGAATGTTTAAACACACCAAACCGGTTCTGGAGCACAGAACTCTGACAAACTTTAACAGCTTTCATAGAGTCATGCCTCTCATACACAATAACCAAATCCCCATCCCCAATGCACCGATTAAATGATAACTTTTTTGTTGAATCAGTTGGCAACATCCTTAAAATATAACCAAATTATCTGCCAAAAATAGAATTTTCAAGGAAAATTAGCAGAGTGCCTCATAAAATTTACATCCAAAATGTTCAACTAAATCAACAGAGAAAAATTCCAGCCAAGGCATAAATATTCTTCAATACTATCAGTTAACAAACCAAAATACATAAGCCAAAAAACCAATATAGTAATCATTAAGGAACAAAGAAAAAACAAGCCTTAAACAAAAATTTAATGAAGCTTACCTCTCCAACAGGCCTGGCACAACCTTCAATCAAATTGACACCCAACTCAAAACAAATAAAACGCCAACAATCGCCGGTTACCAGTTCTCAGAGACATAAAACACTTCGAATTTATTTTCTTTAAAAAAAAAAAAAAATAATAATAATAATAATAAATGCGACCTCTCCTGGTTTCCTTTGGTGAACAGAGTGAGAAAGGAGACTAGTGTAGGGTTTAAGGTAAAGAGCTTTTGTTCTGGTTTGGGCCTAAGTAAATGGGCTGGGCTTGGTCAGGAATTTAACTGAGGGGTTTACGTAGCTATCAACTTCGGGTCTTGAAAAATTTGTTAGGATGCCTGCAAGCTAACCAAGACAATCCCAATAAAATAAAATAAAAAAAGCCGAAGTCAACGTCAACATTTCACAAATAAAAAAAATGTAATATTGAAGATGAGATGATCCCTCTTCTTGGATTTCTCTCTCTCTTTTGGCCCTTCACTTTGGATATCCTTGGATTAGATAGCCACCCTTTCTCTATAAACTTGCCCTATTTTTTAAACCCACCAAAATATCCCAACACAAATATCTTACACAAAAATATCCAACCAATTTCTTCACAATGAATCCTCAGCATTACTTCCCTTGTTTGCATTGCCACCCACAAGACTACATCAGAATGGTAATTGAATAAAAAATAAAAAAAAATAGTGCCAATATCTCCCAAAAGTTTGGATACTCTAGAAGCTGTCAGTTTATTTTGTTTTTTTTTGCAAATGAATTTCAGGTTCAGCATTTGATTGAGAGATGCCTGCTCTTTCACATGAGCAGAGATGACTGCATCAAGGCACTTGCAAAGCATGCCAATATCAACCCGATCGTCACTCTTACTGGTTCGGTCTTTTTAATTTTTGAAGATCTTATAACATGCATTTATCATCGTTGTATCGATGAATTTAGCTGATGGTTGCAGTTTGGAAAGAGTTACTTAAAGAGAACAAAGGCTTCTTTCAAGCATATTTCCATGGTATTTCTGCAAGGCACTTCAAAAGTAAGTCAACTAATAACAAGTAGCCTTTGATATTGATATCGTTTACTTGTGTATTAATTTGCACCTTTTTTTTTCCAGAAAGGCCAGCTGAGAGGGGTTTTAATTTCAGAAGAAGAAAATATTGCCGGTTAACGAAAAGAGTCTTGGCACCGATGAACAGAAGGGCTGCTTGGAAAAATGATTAAGATCTGTACTTGAAGACTTATTATAGCAAAGCTGCAAATTAGAATCTGTGTTCAGAAGTTTGGCCCTGCAATACGTGCAGCACAAATATAGATTATGAGGAAGATGAAACGATTACCAATCCTGGTTATTATTGAAAGAGAAGCTGCCACAGAAGGATTATCTTCACCAAGATATTGAGTTCATGATCTACCAAAGTTGATTCTATGCAGTTCATTAATTGTCACAGCTATTATAATTTTGCTTGTCTCTTTGACAATATAAATTGCAGAAAATGAGATTCTCCTTGTATGATTACAGTTACAACCTTATACAAATTTCTATCTCATCGGAGAATGCTCTGCAGAAAACTTGAAGAATATCTATCATCCGCCTTTATTAACAAAACCCAAAATCCTCTTCAATTAACAACAGAACTCAACATTTCTTTCGAAAATCAGTTGTTATTAGAGGTAGTTAGCATCCTAATCTTCTAAACAGATGCAAAATATATTCCAACTTAGGTAAATACAATTTTTCTAATTAATAGAAATATCAAAAGGATTAGAAATATTCATGGAGTTCAGTTTTTACTATCTGTAATTTCAATTTCGTTCGACAATCAAAATTTTGTAAAAAAGAATCAAATAACTCTAAACATGAAATCCAAACAAATCAACCCAGAGGGTACTAGAAATCAGTCTCAAATCAATGATTCCTAAGATATATATATATATTATAATTTTTTTTATTTATAAATGAATACACGTATTATATTTAATATTATTAGATGTATATCAAATTTAAGATAATCCCAACTCACACAACTCTTAAAAGAAATTCAACACAAATACGGAGAAAAAAATACAGTACTCTGTATTGTCAGCGGAGCGGAGTGTGAAGTTGGTAGCTTTAAAGTAAAGAACACATAATAGATGGGTCCAAACTCTAAACTCCAAAAGAGTGCCAATCTTTGACATCATCATCAAAACTGTTCAACAAATGTCCACGTATAAACCCTCTGGAAACCGTTTCATTGGACCCCAATATTTCTCGCGGTTCTTGTACCTTCGTTTTGTTCGGCCAATTTTCTTCAAACATCACATTTTACCTGTCAAAACATGTTTTCTTTTTCGTCTCAAATGACGCCCCATGCATTCTTCTAACTCTATTTTCCTTGAAAAGGAAGAATATTTTACTCGTTTTATTGTATCACCTGTTTTCAGTTCATACCAAAAGGAAGCATAATTTTATAATCAGAGCAACATCTGTAAGTAAATTCATCTTTTTCAATCTTCTTTTGTGATGTTTGTTCATTGGATCACTGGGAATTTGGGATGTTATGATCGTTTCTTTTGATCTTTTTATTTATGTCCATTATTTCATCTTTATCTTGCAGAAAAAGAAAAGGATTTATCCTAAAAGTTATTTTAGAGCTTTAGTTTGGTGTGTAGAATCAAATGCATAGCCATTTCTTACGTTATAGTCAGTTTCTTTTATTGTTTTTTTGTTTGAGATATATGGAGCTGATTTCATTTCCATTAGTTTGATACATAATTTGGTATCAAAACAATTTGTAAATGAATCATTGTGTGTGCTTTACCATGTCATTGTATCATTGTAATTGTAATGTTGATAAGCTGGCTAGTCAAAAATTTGAGGAATCATAGTGTAGGAAAGTTCATGTTACATAGCCAAAAAGCAAAGTAATAATGAAGAAGAGGTAACACGGAGACTTTTTTGGCAGGATGCCTCTGCCGGTTACTGAGGATACCACCGTCTCGAGTTATTGGTTGAACTGGAGGGTCCTGCTATGTTCAATATGGTTATTGTCAATAATGGCTATATCATCATTTATTATATGGAAATATGAATCTTTGGATAATTTGAGGTCTGATGAAGGAGAAACACGGCAAGACGCTGCACAGTTTTTGTGTAATGATGACGCATGGAGGCCATGTCTTAAAGAAATACACCCATTTTGGCTATTGGTTTTCCGAGTAATTGCATTCTGTTTTCTTTTGGCTACTCTCGTTGTCAGAATTCTTAGTAGTGAAAGCAGAATATTCTACTTTTATACTCAGTAAGCTATCTCTTCTTTGGATATATTACTTATTTCTTTTAAACCAGTTATTTAAAGCATGGTTTAAGCACTGTGGACAGCCTTTCTAGGATGGCCATTAGGAGAGCAAAGTTTGTGAAGGGTTTTGAAATTTCAGTTTATTTAACCCAAAATTAGAGGATGATGCTAAAGCCAAGATGATTTATCATGGTGGAGTGAATGCAAAATTTTTATAAGCATAATGGGAATATAACAATCCTTCAATAATTAGTGAGGTTTGTCTGTTTAACACAGAAGGGATGATCGCTCTAAAATTCCTTTGTTTTCATACTCTTACCAATCTTTGTGTCTATATAATATGTTTGTCATAATACTAAATTAATTTTTTTTCTATTAGAATTGTTAACATGTGTAGCCATTATGTCTTTCATTGAACCTTGAATTTGTTCGATCACGAAAAAGTTTTTTAGTCAGAGAGGACAGGTATTCTTTCTGATAAATATCAATTTGTGTTGTTTAATACCAGTTTCCCAATTGTTTGTAAATTTAAAAATGTTAATGTTTTTAGAACTCATGGTTCTGGTGTTTTCTGAGTGTTGAACAGGTGGACTTTTGTTCTGGTTACCTTTTATTTTGGGGTAGGTGCTCTAATTTCTATCCCCAAATAACACCTCAAATTGATATTGAACCATCTATTGTCTACAAATATCTGTTGAGTTGCTAAAATAGACACATAAGCAGGTTTGCTGCAGGAAAAGCTTTCATTTCCTTGGAAGTAAATGTCATATGATCACTTTTCTCTACATATTTCACATCCTTTATTCAAAATCAATCTACACTATGATCACAACTTTCTTTTGTAGTTTGGATCTCTTCTCTCCATCTATGGGTGTTACCAGTACCACAAGATAAGCAGTGGGAATCTTAATGTACAACATGGTGAAACAGATGCAGAGCAAGGAAACTTCATGCCTCTAACCAATGGAGAAAATGCAAATAAACATGAAATGAGAAATGTCTTGAATACCCAAGAGAAATCCAGTCCAGCAATTATTAGTTGTCTATTTCAAGTCGTATATCAGGTATAGATTAACTTCCAAGAACCAGTAAGTTTACTGTTACCCAGTGACAGGACTGATACTGATAGATTGAGCCTGCAATATTCATATGGTTGGCTGCTGAGGAATCCATTGATTTGGATCTCTTTCATCTATTAAAAATGTGCTTGCCTCTTTCTTTATTCTCTTTGTTCATCTGCTTCTTAGTTGATATCTTATTGACATCATTCACACCGTTACAACTTTTATCTTTCTTCTTTCTTGTTATCAGTTTTTCATATGGATGAAAATTAACCTTTTAATGGTTCTGGAACTTCTGGCTTGGCTTGAATTATTCATCATATAAATATATATTCACAATATGATTCGCAATTTATGCTACTGTAAGAGCTTTCACATGATTTCTTATTTTACAAGTCACTTATCTTTTTACCTTTGTTTGTTGTGTCATAAACAGATGAATGCTGGGGCGGTGATCCTCACTGATTGCGTTTATTGGCTCATTATTTTTCCATTTCTCACTGCCAGTGACTACAAATTGAGTTTTGTAAGATCTGGATGCCTAAATCAGCTTCTCCACTCAGTTTTGCTTCAGTGTTTTATTTTCTCTGGCTGTTTGTGCAAATTAAAACATTCTTGATAGGGCAAAACTAATAAGCCAATCATGGTATTCTTTCCTTGCTTCATTACACCAGGATACCATCAGTTGTATCTCTGAGGTCTTGAATTGTTATTGAGATTGCATTGTATTAGTTTCATGACTGTTGCATGCCAAAGGCCACTGAACTCCAACTTGGCTTCGTCAAAAGAAAAAATCAACTTATGGCCACATAAATGTGGCTGATATCTCACTCTCACCTTCCCCAACCAGACAATTTATCTCCTTATGTGATGGTTTTTTAAGCTAGAATTGTTGCTAGGCTATTTGGGATATGCACATACTCTAGATATGTTGCTTCCATTCTGAGGCACCCTCTTAGACATATTGGGATGACAAGCTGGCTCAATGCTCAGTCTGAGGTTGGTGTTTTGGCAAAAGAAATTTTTTAAACAAAAATTTGTGTTTCTACTTGATGTAAATCTCTTGAATATGAACTAAGAGAGAAAGTCATGCCTTTCTCAGTTAGAAGATGTGTTTGAAGCATATCAATGTGTATGTTTTTTTCTGCAAAATACTTGATATTATGTAAATTTCTATTGATGAGAAAGGGTATAGTTTACATTTGCACTCAAAATTGCCTAGGCCTTATATTTCTCTCTCCATGCTGCTGGGGCAGTTTTCTGACTTGTTTATATGTGATCTGTTTTACATGCACATAAGTCTTTCTTTGTAATGCATCATCAGTTTTTTATTTTTACTTCCTGTCTCAAATGCTTCTATCAGTGTGTTCCATATGATGTATCTTGACAATCCGTGTTTTAATTATGTCAGATGACAGTGAATATGCATACCCTGAATGCTGTCTTTCTACTCGGTGATACAGCTCTGAATTGCTTGGTAATCTGATATTCAAGGCTTATTCCTCATTGACTTTTTTCTCTAAATTATATCTGAATTATCTTCCTTTCAGCGATTCCCGTGGTTTCGGATAGCTTACTTTTGTTTATGGACGTGCGTCTTTGTTATTTTCCAGTGGATACTTCATGTTGTTGTCTCAGTTTGGTAATGTTTGTCACCTTTATCATCTTTTATAGATTTCACTCAATAATATTGATGTTTCTCTCTGCTTCTGCTACAGGTGGCCGTACCCATTCCTTGAGCTGTCATCATCAATTGCACCATTATGGTTGGTTAACTAAAACTTCCCATTATTGTTTACCTTAAAGAATCAGTTATTTTGAAGGATGAAGTTTCCTTGTAACATGCATTTGCAGGTACTTGGGAGTGGGATTGATGCATATTCCGTGTTATGCCATATTTGTTTTAGTGGTCAAAACAAAGCATTACCTGTTCTCAAGATGGTTCCCACAGTCTTATCTATGTTCAAGATAAGAGAAAAATAAAAATTCATTTTAGGTGTAGTTTTAATGTTTTCTTTCGTTTGTTTAAAATCAAGTGTAGATAGCAAAATTGGTATTCTACACACGGGATCATTATATATACTTAAATAAATGTTCCACTGAAACAAAAGATATTGCAAATTGATCATATATGGCGAACTTCCCTGGAATTCTAAGGTTGGTGCATACATTGCAAGGATCAAACGTTTATGATACATGTAGTATTAGTAAATACTTACCATTCGCCAACACCATTATTCATTACTAGAATTTATAACAAAATTAACTGCATTCCATTCCTTTTAAGATTTAGATGCAATAGCTCCAGATTCTGTTAGAAGTGGAAGCAGCTTCCCTTCCTTGTGAATACCAGTTGTTGCTGCGAAACAACACACACCCAATAACAAAATCAACAACCAGGATATACTAATAAGAGAAATAATAATGCAAGAAATGAAATGTTGCAATCAACAGTTGAATTAGTATTAGTATATGAAGTGAGGGATTATTTATGTTTTACCATCGCAGCCACCAATGTGTTTTCCGCCAATGAATACATTTGGCACTGTCCTCTGTCCAGTCCACTCAGCCAGTGCTGCTTGTATTTCACTTCCATCACCTGCAAATAGCAGGAAAATATGGCTTACTCATCCATCTTACTTTGGGTTAATCAGTATGCCAAAATGATAATGATTTCCTTTTAAAAGCCTATTTATCAAACAAATTTTAAGATCAAACGAAAGAAGAATCTATACAATCCACAGAAAAAAATCTGACGCACATCTTGTAAAATTCAAAGCAATATTCCATACATCCACACCACAAAAATGCCCCAACAAAATTCACAAACAAGCTATACAGATAGGTAGAACTCAGCAAATTACAGCTGAGATCTCTTTCTTGTCTGTAAAATTTGAACCTATAATTTTACACCAATAGTGCACCCAATTTATATAGATTGGCATTCCCAACACTAACCGAATGCCTAAATTTTCGTCTGAGATTCTTTCACCAATTTCATCAATCATAACCAATTGCAATTTCAATTCCAAAACCGGTTAAATTTTGAAAAGAAACATAAAATTTTCACTCGTTCACCACCTTGATAATTAATCAACCATATTTCATACACTATAATATGCCCGTATACATCTACGTCATAGTTATTCCCTAAAAACGACATGAAACTTCGGGCACTTGCAGGTAAAGATACCGGGAAAGATATAAAACGTGAGAACTGAAATATTAAACGTAAAAGTTGTAATACATATTAAACTCAAACTTGTAAAATATTATAAAACTGATATTTGTAACTTAATACCGTGTTGAAACTTGAAATCATGAAGAAAACAGAGAAGTGATAGGAAATTACTTTCAGTGTCCAATTCAATGGTTTTGTAAGTGGCTCCCACATCGTCCAAAAGCTTTTTCACGGTGACGCAGAAGGGGCAATACGTCTTGCTGAAAACGACGACGGAATTCGATTGAACCATTTCCTTGGCCTTGGGCAATGCCATCTCTCTACTCTCAGTTTCTCCCAACCCTAGAAAGATTTTCAATTTTTTCCAGTAATCAGCAAAAGTTTATATAGAGACAGAGAGAGACATGAAGCCGTTCGATCGAGATTTGGAAAATCCAGGCCGTTGAAGTTTTTCTTAATTTTTTTTTTTTTTTAATATAGAGAACTGATCAACCAATTGTAGCTTTTTGCCACGAAAGCCAAGTAATTTTGGCCAAAAGATTCATTTCATATATAATGCCTGCCGTATATTTTTTATTTTTATTTTTTTTAAATTTCATTATTTTCTTGCGCGTTAAGTTCTGCGGATGCGGCTCTTTGGCCGCCAATTGACCGCGTAAGAATAAAGCTAATTTGTTGGTCCGAACTCCGGCCAATTCTTTTTTAAGTATAGAATATTAATAAGTACGTTTGTTTTAATATTTCATACCTTATTCCCTCTTATATTCCCAAGATACCTGTTTATTTAATTATTTAAAAAATATTATTTTATTTTTTAATTATTTTAGACCCTTTAAATTTATTAATTTAATTAAACATCCTCAGAGAAAAAAATTTAAAAATTAACAAAAATACCACCATCCATCCATAGTTGCTAAAATCTGTCATAACGATATAGAAATGATCAGAACTGATTGATAATTCATTGATTTGGCCTTTTTCGATCAGATCCACAATATATATGACCGAAAAATATCAGATCTGATCATCATTGACCGACAACAACGGTCATATTTTTAGCCGTCAGCGACGATCAAATCTAGCCTTTTACAGTAGTCGATGGCCAAATCTACATTTTTCGACTAGATCTGTGGTGGATCTAACCAAAAAATGCCATGTCGATGCACAACCAACTAGATCCGACCGGTCTGCATCGTAACCTCATTTTTCGGCCAGATTTCAACAGTAGTGGTCGGAATCTGACACTATAGGTGGATAGGGGTGTTTTTATCATTTTACAAAAAATTTATATATTGAAGTGTTTAGTTAAATTAGTAAACCTAAGGGGTTTTTTTTGTTAATTTTTAAATTTTACCTCGTAATACTCTTATATTCACCTTATTTAACTACTCAATATTATTCCCAAAATCCTATCCAAAATAACAAAACAAACGAACCCATATTGCAAATATATTGTATCCCAATATCCCAACCAGAAAGCATGATTAAATCAAATCTCAAAAAACTCAATTGAGGGCATCAATGCCACATTGAAGCCCAAAGTGAGCCAGACGCATACAAACCTTTAAAAATTTAAAACTGATGGATCACTTCATTCAAGAATTATAGTGTAATCAACATGATATATCCCTGACATTTAATGGAGATAAATCTCCGATTTGCTTCTTGAATTTAATGAACCAAAGTACCAAAAACACCTATATTCTCAGGAATTTTTTAGAAATGGATAGAAACCGATCTACTCAAACCATTGCCGGCTCCCGAAGCTTTGCCTCAAGATTCAGTGCGACAGCATCAATAAATTCTTCAGTGTTCAAGTAGAACTCCCTTGTTACCCTGCAAACATCAGCAGCATATCACTCGTTTTAAAATCCTGTAACTTGTTTAGTAGGATCTTAGGAAGAGGGTGATTGTTGCTCTATTCATCATCACGGATGACGAAACAAAAAGCTTTGTTGCCTCCTTTTGAGCCAAAAACTAAATAAAATAGTGAGAAGCATGTGCATTGATAAATAAGTGTAATTTAACACAGTGGGAAGGTGCTATATACTTAGGTCCGTATATCAAAATGGCAAGATCCTTTGTCATTTGTCCTGTTTCCACAGCCTCAATGCATGCAGCCTCCAACTTCTGAACAAAACCCATCAACCTTTCATTTTTATCTAGCTTGGCCCTGTACAAAATTCAATTTGAGATGTAAACATTTAAAAAGCCATTGGAAGTCAATTACATTTACACGATACTAGTGTTGGCCCTTGATGTGTGAAACAAGCCAAACACACAATGAAATGGAATACTGAAAAGTAAAGAGATGCGAAAATATTTGTTCAAAATGGATATTGTTTGAATGAACTGTCAAACAAGGAAAAGCTTGAACTTTGATGACAAGCAACAAAATATACCTATGTTCTAGCCCTCGTGTCCATGCAAAAATAGAAGCAATACTGTTTGTACTGGTTTCTTGACCTTTCTGATGTAGTCTGAAATGTCTAGTTACAGTCCCATGAGCAGCCTCAGCTTCTAATGTCTTTGCATCAGAGGATAACTGCAAAACTGGTGGTTATTAAGATTTTGGAGCATCCAAAGACAAAAACAATGATAATGACAGAGCACAGCATAATTTGATACAAACCAGAACTGAAGTCATGAGGCCCAAAGATCCAAATCCTGCATAAAGCAATCGACTATAAGATGCCCTCCAATAAAATGCATCATGAGAAAATGGCATTCCATTTATTTTAAGATCGTATGAGAATATGGTAACATAAAAGGAGCGAAAAAGAACACCAAACTAATAAAACTTTTGTAATATAGACAATATCACTGACAAATTAGCTGAGGTTAAGGATATAGATAGTGGAAAATGGTAAAAATTGGAAGCATGAAAAATGTCAAAACATTCGAATGTGCACTGAACAGTACCTTGAGCAAGCAAATCACTCTGGACATCTCCATCATAATTTTTGCATGCCCAAACATATCCACCTTCACTTTTTAATGCATAAGCCACCATGTCATCAATTAGCCGATGCTCATACCTATGCAGCAGACAAATCTTTGATCAACTATTTAACAATAAGCTCAGCATAGAAAAAAAAGCTTTCTCATAGACAAGAAAAACAAACCATATTGAGTGTTCTTCGAACTTCTGCTTCCATTTCTCTTCGTATACCTCCTGGAATATGTCCTTAAATCTGTGATAGCCTTATAGGTGTTAGCATTGTGCATATGTATTCACAAATGAAAATAAAAAAAAGCTGATTTTTTTTTAATTAACAAAGATAAGTTTTGGCAAAAATAAAATAAAAGAAAAACAGCTATTCAAAAGAGAACAATTACCTGCCATCATATTTTTTCAGAATTGTGTTTTTAGTGCTCAAGTAAAGAGGCCACTTCTTTGAAAATGCCAATGACATTGATGACTCAGCAAAAGCTCGAATTGACTGAAAATTACAAGATATGGTCAAAACTGTTCATCAAATTTTTGCAATGAGGATCTGGACCAAAACAAAATAAAGACAAGACAAACCTCATCAACATTATACATAGCAAGTGCAATGCCTGGACCTTTAAAGGTATAGACATCAAGGTCCACTGAGGCAGTACCATCTTCAGGGACTGGGAAAGAAACAGGCAAAAATCTTGGTAAGCACATTTAGTATAATAGGAGGCACAGAAACTCTTTATTTGTATGAGCAGGAATTTATCAACTCACCAAATACCATTTTAAGCTTTCCTGGTCCATTAATGACAGTATCTGTGGCACGATACTGATCACCAAAGGCATGTCTACCAATACAAATGGGTTTCTTCCAGCCTGTACATAGGAGAATAAGTACTGAAGGGTGTTTCACAGTGATCCACTACGTCCAATATTATGGCTGGAAGAAAGTATTACCTGCAACAATTCTAGGAATATTCTGGCACAGAATAGGTTCACGGAAAACAGTACCTACACCATTAAGCAACCCTTTGATCAGGACTTCGTTGAAAGAAACTGGAGGGCAGTCTCACATAAAAGAAGATTTAAGAAAAAGATAAAGTTACATGGATAAAAAGTAAAAGCTTCAGCCCAATGGATAATTTACTTGGAGCAAGAAATAAACCACTACAAACAGGACATGTCTAATTACCATGTTTTCACGACAAGATTTCTAGAAGTATATGCACATAATATCACCTGATGACTTCTGTTGGTTGTCATGTATTATAACCACATTCACTTCAATATTTTTGCTAAGCAACTACTAATGAATAATTGCTCTTAAAAACTAGTGACTAATGTTGGAGTCCCACACCGATTAGGCATGCTCAAGCCTACTGGTTTATAAGAGAGGGCAATCCTCCCATTCAATAAGGCCTTATTGGGTGAGGAGTCAGGCCCACCTCAAATTCTATCATGATATCAAAGTCAGGTTCAGTTGAGCTGAGTGCTTGACCAACGGGTAAAGAGTTAGAGCCAGCAACTACCTCCATCAACAGGCATGACCTAACATATGGGCTTGACCGTGAGGAAGAGTGTTGGAGTCCTACACCAACTAGGCACACTCAAGCCTACTGGTTTATAAGAGGGGGTAATCCTCTCATTTAATAAGGTCTTATTGGGTGAGAAGTCAAGCCCACCTCAAACTCTATCACAGCATCAACTTGTAACATGTACAACAATGAAAGCTAATCTCCTATGATTTATTCAAGGCAAGCTTTTTCACATTCAATACAAGGAAATATTGTTTACAGAGAAAAAAACAGATCCCATCCAACCAAGTAGACAAACCATTAGCTTCCCTAGCGGAAATCATACAAATGCTAACAAATGACACAATCAAAAGACTATGTCACAAGAAAATGCACTCAAAATCTCCCTTGAAAGGAGGGAAAGTTTATCTATCAAATACTCACCATTTAAAATGTTTCTAATTGTGCCATTGGGACTTCTCCACATATAATTCAGCCCAAATTCCTTCACTCTGGTCTCATCTGCAAATTATTACATCAAAAGATTAATGTCTGCAGAAAGTACAATAAAAACAGTTTTGCTTAAGCCACAAGAATATCCACTTGCAATGTCCTATCACATTAATCCTTTCATAGACCAGAACATATTGACTCCCCGAGTCCGTAAATCTGCCTTCCTGGTACTAAAAACATAAAGAGTAAAGCTGGTAAGGACAACAATGGCTAACCTGGTGTTATTGTGGCACATTTGATGGCAACATTGTACCTGCAGCAGATAAAGGGTTAAAAAGTGATTGACAGAAAAACGGTATTGAGCATTATTATTGATTATCTGTCTCAAGAAAATTCCCTTTTTTCTTAGTCTTCCCTGCAGTCATAGCTATCATAAGCCATTTAGATTTAACAAACCATGCATTCTTTAACTTATGTTCATCTATCAACAAACATGTCTACCTATAGCAGAATTCTACAATATAAGTCCATTCTCGTCATCTCGTGCATAATGTCTAAACAACAACCATAGCCAAAAGGCACAGGCTAACAGGACAATTTTTAATCACTACTTACTTAAGAGCTGCTTCAGCACTTTCGACAGTAACCTTGTCATCCGTTGCATCGCGATTCAGTATCCCCAAGTCAAAATACTTTATATCCAAATCTAAATAAGGAAATATGAGCTGCAGCCACACAAGAAATTAAATCACATTAAACATGACCAATAGGCTCGGAAAAAAATTATCTGGAAAAGAAAATTATAGTAGAAAATTAAAACATACTTTGTCCTTTATCATCCGCCAAATGATCCTGGTCATTTCATCACCTAAACATAAGAACAAAATTAAAATTAAAATGAATCTCCTAAAATAAATAAGGAAGCAACTTATGCTCTATATGGTCACTCAAAAAGCCAGGGAATATTAAAAAAAAATAAAAAATTATAGTCTCGTGTTATCAACACTTTTGTGTCTCGGTGGATTTGAATTCTCCGATCATTGAAAAGTACGAGAACAAAGAAAGAGAAATTATGATCCCAGTTTCACACAATTCATTTTGCTTTTATCACATAATTCATTTTACTTTCATCGCATAATTCATTTCCCTGGGTCTCCCAACAACTTAAAAAAAAAAAGGCAATAAGAACTGTCACAACACAGATAAGCACAATCAAATTCTTCAAAACTTCATTTCGTCATCATTTCACTACTCTTTCTGATCAACTAAACAACAAAGTGTCAACCCCATGCTGATACATTACAATACTATAATTTCACACTATTCAGTACTCAGAATCAAGTATTCTCAATTAGTGCAAAACCGAATAATTACTAATAAAAAATTCGGATTCTCAAATATTTTCTCATCAACAAAACAGGGTTTTAGAGAGGTTTTACCGTCCATTTCGACAATAGGATTCTGAACCTTGACTCTATCAATCCCAGCGGCAGTTGTAGCAAAACACCGAAGCGAAACAGAGGGAGCCTGCTGGTTACAAAACGCAACTCGATTCTTAACGAATCCATTGAACATACAAGAATTCTTCGAAGAGAAAGAGCTGCTAGGGCTTTTAACAGCTAGATTTGATGATGATGATGAGAGCATTGTGAAAGCAGACGACATGGCGTTTGTCCGAATTCTATTTATGGAAATTTGCATTTCATTCAGTTATCAGAAGAGTCGTCTTCGTTTTAAAGACGCCGGGCTGGCTCGCTTTGGTGTGAGCTCCTTTGGCCTTTCGTGTTTGGAAAGAAAGAGCGAATATGTTGTAGTGTTGCTCTGCCTCTGTGCTGGGATTCATCATGGCCTTTGATCCATGCCATAGATTTTTGTATTTTTGATCCAACGGCTGATAAAACTTTTCATGAGATAAAAATTCGGATTCTCAACAAAGTTAGGAGTATTTTTGTTAATTTTTAAATCCTATCATACCTCGTAATAACCACTCAACTCAACTTTTTCAAAAATACTACTCTAAATAAATCAAACATAGCACACGGCTGTGTTTGGGGCATTATTTAAACCCTATCATATCCTACTATCGTATCCAAAAAAAATGAAAAATACATTTGTTTTAATATTTTCAAAATCTAACTCTATTTTATTTAACTCAAAACATTAACAATTGGTTTTCTCAACAAAGTTTTAAAATTAACAAAAACACCCTTACACTTCTCAATAAAAGTTTTAAAATTAATAAAAATACCCCCACCCACCCAAGCTACTATCACTTGCCAGCCGTCGCCGCCACCACTGTTGCCGCCAGACGTCGATGCCACCGTTGTTGCCACCAGACGTCGACATCGGAATGGTGCATGACCAGCTGGATTTGGCCAGTCGTGCATCAATTTGGCCTTTTCCTACCATATTCACCATGGATCTGGCTAGAAACGACCAAATCTACAACCAAACGACAGCCAAGATATGGTCATCGTCAACGACCAGATCTGGCCATCAAAAGCTAGATCTTTAGCCCCAGATTTGGTCATCAACAACCAGATCTTTGGTCTTAGATCTAGGCAAAAAATGCTAGATCGACGCACGACCGACCAGATCCAATCGGTCGTGCCATTCTGACGACTTTCGGCCACCATCCGATGGTGGTGGCCAGCATTTAATAGTTGGGTGGGGGTATTTGTGTTAATTTATAAACTTTTATCATAGGGAGTGTTTAGCTAAATTAACAAATGTATGGGGTTAAAAAATAATCTAAATATTTTCAGAAATTGTTTTCCAAAAATTTACTAAGCACATTTTCAAATTAAAATCCTATACTCATAAGAACAACCCAACTCAACTTTTTTTCAAAAATACTATCATAAATATTCAAACAAACATAGCCAATGTTATTTGTTCACAACTATAATTTAATTATACCCTCGTTTACATATAGGGGAACGACTTATACCTACCCAAAATTTATTGTAATGACAAATTGGTACCCAAAGGGTTTGAAAATGACATACATGTATTTTCCGTCATGTGCTGTTAGTAATTTCTGTTTACTAATGTTGAAAAGACTGGAATGCCCTTGGAAGTTTGATACTTAAGTTTTTTATTAATTTATGGCTAGTCAACTTATTCAATTACTTAAATACCCACATCATTATGGTGAATTACGATTATGCCATCAAGTTATTATGAGTCAATGAAATGACTACTTTGTCCCTATGAGTTTATAAAAAATGAGACACAATAAATGACCAATTCGTCCCTGTTTTGGTGACAAATTTTCAAAGTGAATATAAGATATATACAAAGAAAGCAACAATATAAATATGTTCATTTGTGGCTGAAACTTGAAAATTTTCATGATTTAACGGCAATCATTCATACAAAAGAACATAATTTGTAATGAAATACAATATCAATTAATTCTTCATGATTTAAACAAAAACTATGAATTCAGTACAGCGAAATGTGTTTATAGGGAAGATATACAACTAAAACTTCAAACTTCAAATCACATTTAAAAAATTGAGTAGTTTCCATACGCATGCCGATAATTGCAAAAATAGGCACAAAATTGTCCTCTTCTCCATCCTGCAAATCCACAAAATTAATTGATACTAAGTTAGAACCTATTTAAAAGAAACAGAAACTACACATTTCAGATGTGATATTTATCATTTACCTATAATTTGAAGACCCACACACACTACCAGAATTACTAAATGTAGAGAGTATCACGAGTTATATATATGTGTACTCTTCACATAATTAAACTGAAGAAACTTATGTTGTTATGCACAATGTTTTCTCAAAAATGATAGAGCCACCGAAGGTTGTGTACCGAATGACGTGGCAAAATCCTAACTGTTGATTAATATTAACCGATAATGAATCAACGGTAAGGATTTTGCTACGTCATTCGGTGCACAAATTCGGTGCGCAACCTTCGGTGGCTATAGCATTACTCATGTTTTCTCCAGTGGCGCTATCTCTAAATCATAGTCTCCATCCCTTGGGCATGTTGATGTGTGTTGCAGTTAACTTATCTATTAGATTCCCAAAATTCAATTGCTACTTTAATACTAATGCATGAAAATTTCATAGGACTTATTTAATTTCCACAAAAATCATGCATATATATAGAATTGATAATAAAATAATAGCATGTCTAACTAAGTCACTTGTTCTGGATATCTGAATTTGAGCATATTGACTAATAATAAAAAGAAAATTGGATCGAATGACAACCGATTCAAAAAAAGAAAAGCACAAAAGCTTATAGCATACCAGAGAGGATTAGAAAGATTACGTGGTCTATGTATAAAAAAAGAAGCTAGATATCAAATCTTTAATCACTGCATCACATATATTTTTCAACTATATATTTCAGACAAAAATTTACATATAAGAACTTGATTAAAGGATTTTACAAACACAAATCTTACACATGAACATTCACATTATAGCTAAGTTATAATACACACCTATTCTTCTTCGTTGTTGGAGGTCCAGGTGGCAAAAAAACATCTAGTTGACTAAATAACATGTTGGAAACACTGAACAAAGTACATAAACTATGGGTTAGAATATGATAATCAAAGTAGAATATCAACCCAAAAGGTAGACAAACACACATATTTTGACATAAGTGACCACACTCCTTAATATTTACTTTTTATTATTTTATCAACAGTAAAAATAAGAAAAGAGAAAGAAATTAGGATAAGAACAGCAAAAAATAATCAACTTCATGAAAGATATAAAAAGCCATATGCTACTGCAATAAGGAGAAAAGTTAGAACCTATTTGAAAGAAACAAACACAAAAACAACCTACTTCTACAAGCTGGCTCAGACACGCCTAGTCACCAAAAAAAAATAAAAAAACCTACTGCTACAGTAGACAAAAAAACTTCCCCATTGCATTACTGACTTGGTTGACTTATTAAGAGAAGTAAGAATAATGTTAGGGAAAGTAAAAAGTAATTGACATAAATAATATATGGTTTAAAATAGTTGTAAGTACCCCTTGAACTTGAAGCTTGAGACAAGTTTGACATCTTAGTTAAAGAAGGCTTTGAAGATGCTGCAAATTGAGCTGTTGAAAAGGGTGTAGTCATTGTGAGCACAAAGGTTTGTTGCAAATGAAAAAATAGAAATCAGTATTAGAAGAAAAAATATGTTGAAATTGACATTTTCCCTATTACCTTTTGCTTCTTCCTTTTATCTACATTTGCTGGAATTTTTTTTTTTTTTTTTTTTTTGCAAGACCTTTTGTTATGCCCCAGGACTCTATAGGCACTACACCTAACTGTAAAAACCCTTTTAGGTTTCGACTCTTCATTTGAATCTCTCCTTCTTGATTTCGCAAGTTTACCAGCCTTGGGCTACCTATATGGTGGCCAAATATATTCATTACCAACCCCTGGCCAGCTAGTCTTGTCGTGTACAGGGTGGATCATGTATGCATAAGTTTGCAGATACATGGGAATTCTAAGCTTCTAATCAACATAATGTTCAAAGTTGGAAATGTTCTTGTGTAACAAACAACTGATAGCATGGACACAAGGAATTCCTGATAGTTGTCACATCCCACAATCACATAGTTGGTTGTTCAAAACCAAAACATAAGTTTTACATGGATCTATATTCTCATCATCGACTTCAAACTCAGATCTAAGGTATCAAACTTTGACATTTCTAGCTGACTCAATCATCTTGTTAATGTTTCTATGAACCACTGGTGGAAAGAGGTGTAATCCACTCTGTACCGACTTTGAATCTGTATTGTAACCGCTTCATTACCATACGTCAGTAAAGTTCCAATAGACTTAGTATAGGAAGTTCCCTGTCTTCACCTAGCTATGAGTTGAAGCACTCACTCATGTTGTTAGTTATGTGGTCTAACTTTTCTGTTGTGTCAAAGGCATGTTTGGACCATTAGTCTAGTTCATTTTCAAGCAACCATTTGTATGCACCCTCATCTACATCCTTGATGCTACCCATGGCCTTAACAAAATCTGGCATGTTTGCAGTCTTACTCATTGCCCAAAACAATTTCCTCATGTGAACACCAGGAAAATTCTTTTTGAAGTTTGTGTAGACATGTTAAGCACAAAATCGGCTCTTTGCATTTGGCCACTCAACTTCTAATGCATCTATAAAACCCTTTTGCCTGTCACTCATGAATGTAACATGCTCTAAATCACCCAAAAAATCATGTAATAGTTGAAGGAAGAAGCCCCACGAATCATTATTCTCTGCCTCACAAACACATATTGCCAAAGGGAATATCCCACTGTTTGCATCCATAGAGACTACCGATAAAAGTACCTCTACCATAGTGACCTTTCAAATGACACCCATCAATTCCTATAAAATGCCTACACCCCTCCAGAAATCCTCTTTTCTAAGTAGCAAAACTTAGAAAAAAATCTCTTAAATCTAGGACTTTGTGGGTCTTTTTCTCTAATTGTAAGACTTTCTGGGTCTTCTTCTCTATTAATCGAAGTTATATCATGGATCCAGGGTTGATGACCTGAAGAATGTGGTTGTACTTGAACAACCAAGCAAAAGACTCAACATGTTGTTGTGGGTTGGGTCATTCCAGTGGCAAACCTCCTAGCCCTATACAACTTTCGTTGATGTATCTCCAAAAAATGCACACTTCCTAATTCAACATCTAAGGGCTTAACACAACTTCTCTTGTGTGACTGAAAAATCCCCCCATCTTCTCAACAATCCATGAGGCAGAGGCATCTAGATTGTTGTATACTTTGAGGCATGCATGGGTGTTTCATTT